ACAATTTTAATATTCTATCAGAGTTTTGGATTATAGCATGACGGATCGGGAGTACGAGCAAAAATTGATTAATGAAATGACATACAACGTTCCGGCCATGTTGCCAGCCGTCCCCTATGCTCCTATGGCTCCTGTCAGTGCTCCTATGGCTCCTATCAGTATTCCTATGGCTCCTGCCAGTGCTCCTATGGCGGTAGCTCCTATCACCGCTCCAATCAGTGGTACTCCTGTCACAGCTCCAATCAGTGTTACTCCTGTCACAGCTCCTATCAGAGTTACTCCTGTTACTGCGCCTATCAGTGTCTCTCCCGTCACTTTTCCTATCAGCGTTGCTCCTGTCACTCCCGCTCCTCCCATCCCGACGGTTGTAGTAAAATCTGACGAAGGTCCGAGTCCATGTGAACAATGTCAATCGACATGTGCTCAAACCTGCCAAAAGATATCAATTGCTCCTCTCCTATGTCAGCAGCAATGCAAGCGAATCTGTCTTCCTGTCTGCATACCAGTACCAGTGAGTCTTCATCTCATTATTTGTCATTTGTCTTTCTCTTATTCATTTCATGATTTTGTCCACATAGGAACCCGGGAATCAAATCCGGGTCATTGTAGAAGAATCGGTGATTAAGGGAGCAGATTGCCAACCAAGATGTGAAGTAGTATGCAATGAGCAATGTGTGCAACTAAGCCAGGTAAAGAAATTGAGTAGAACAGTAGCAATGTTAACCCCATCAATATATTTGAAACGGCTAAAGAGCCGTAGAAATGCGTAAAATGTAAAAGGTATAAAAGAACTATTTGGACTGAAGGTCTGTCTCGTTATTGAACTTTTGAAATTTTGTCAAATCAATTTTTGAAATTTGCTAAGTCATAACCCTAGTTCAGGAGTTTTTCTTTCCGAAAAGTTGAAGAAAAAGGCAGGCCATTAGTTCAGAATTCGTTCCAGACACCAATGACATGTGGCCCAGCATGCATTCGTTCTTGCGCCAAGACTTGCAAGCCTATTGTGCTCA